GGTCGGAAGGCCTGGCTCCATGGCCGGGCCCCTGGGAGTAACTGGACCTCTCTTCTCTGAGCCTTGGTTTCCTCCCAAGTGAGAAATGCAGTGACTTGAAGGTTGATTTTGGCTCTATGAATATGATTTCTTCATGCCCAGAGCTAACCATGTCCTCAGAAAGAGAACTCAGAAGCCAGCTACAAGATGGTGAACCTAGCATTTGTTTGTTCAATCACATCTTATTAAAGAGCTTTTCCTGAACTGCAGTGGCCCCTAAGCCCATACGTACTAAAGGATCATTAACACTCCCCCCCCTCCCCCCGATTTTGGCAGTAGAGGAAGAATCCTCTATTTCCATTCTAACTCTAACTCTATGGTCAAAAACGGGCATTTTCCTCTGGGACCAGAAAAAGGATATTTGCTGTGCAGTGATGGGGAACTCTGGGGACAGGAAAGAAACTGTTTCTATCTGACACGGGTTCCGTTAACACCCTCTGTCCTTTCCAGATAGAAATGCTTCATCATCATTACTGAAGAAATTTCCTGTTTGGTCAGGCAGGCTCATGCCTTTTCCTCTGTGCAAGTTTGCAGTTTGCTGTAAATGACTCAAGATGCATGACGGTGAAAGACACAAATGACGGCACATCCCCGTTCCCATCTACTCGTGAAGCTTTCCTGGAGGCCCGGTGAGGAGAGCTCCCTGGGGCGCTCGGAGTTTGTACAGGAAGGCAGAAGCCGCACTAGGTATTTTGTGTAGGAGGTGATCTAATACAGGGATTCGAAGCTTACCAACCACTGGAAGGGCTGGAGAGGAGAGCTCAAGAAGGCCAGTGTGTTTGTTTCCCAGGGCTGTCACAACAAAGTGCCACAAACTGGGTGGCCTAAAACAATAGTTGCAGAGGTGCAGAGGCTAGAAGTCTGAAGTCAAGGTCTCAGAGAGGCCATGCTCCCTCGGAAACCTTCATTGTCTCCTCCCAGCTTCTGGTGGTGGCTAAAAGGCCTTGCCTGTCTAGGCCTATAGCTGCAACACTTCAATCTCTACCTCGGCCATCACATAATGTTCTCCCCTGGCGTGTGTCTCCCTGCTTATAAGCATATTGGCCACATTGGATTAGAGGTCCACCCTACTCCAGTATTCACTAATTATATCTGCAAAGACCCTCTTTCTAAATAAGGTCACATTCTGAGGTACTAGGTGTAGAACTTTCACACATCTTTTGGGGGAACACAATTCAACCCATAACAGGCGGTTTCAGGAAACCTGAACATGCAGGAAGCCCAGAGACGCCATCAGCAATGGCCTCAGCTGCCCGAAGCACCAAAATCAGTGATTCTCGGGGGCACAAGGGGACACCCAGAAGTCACTGACCGATCCCATGGCTATTGTTCACTCTCATCTGAGCACTTGCCCACAGCTCCCACCAGGACATCATGGCTTCTGTCTTTTACCCTTCAGATCTCACACGGGTGCTCCTCATCAGCAGGATCTAACTAGGACCCTGCTGACCTGGTGACCCAGGAGAAGTCATCCCCGAGAGCTGTATCTTTCTGCTATGAACTGAACGCTGCGTTCCCCCAAACTTCATCTGTTGAAGCCCTAATCCCCAATTGATGGCATTCGGAAGTGCGGCCTTTGGGTGGTAACTAGGTCCTGTGGGTGGAGCCCGCATAAAAGGGATGAGTTCTCTTGTAAAAAGAGACCAGTGAGAGGTGATCTCTCTGCACCATATGAGGACGCAGCAAGAAGGCGCCAGGCTGCAAACCGAGGGCCCGCACCAGGAGTCGAATCACTTGCACCTTGACTTGAACTTCTTAGCTTCCAGAACTGTGGGAAGTAAATGTCTGATGTTTAAGACACCTAGTCTTTGGTTACAGTATTTTTGTTACAGTAGCCTGGACTAAGACACACTCTGAACACAGAGGAGAGCTTAGAAATGAAGGAAAGCATGAAGTATCAACAGACAATATGCAGCACACTCATTCTGACCCAAACTGGAGCCCCCAGAGGTATCTGTCTATTCATTCAAAATATTCACTGAGTACCTGTTACATGATGAAGAATTAAATACATATAGAATTAAATAAAACACAGTCTGTGGTTGGAGGTATATTTTTAGTTGAATTGAGAAAATACACATGAATAATTATAAGGGGTATTGTGAAAACTTTTATAATCTATAAAAATAAGGTCAAGTTTCTGTCTTCTCATTGGTCGTGGTATCAGATTAAAATGGGTAAGTGGATAGTCTCCAAATTCGAAGAGTACAATAATACACAGGCTATGTAGCAACCCCAAAACTTTAGTTTGAAAGATCATAGATAGATCGTCACCTGCCTGCTAAAATCTGAGGGAAAATCAAAGTCCCACAAAATTGCCACTCGGCTTCCAAAACGCTGCTCCCTCTGGTCTCTCCTCCTACTCGGTGGCCACTCCTTCTTGTCTCCTGCACTGCCATGTCCTCCTGTCCTCAACCCTGAGATACGAGAGGATCCCAGGGCTCAGCCTGGGCCCTCTTCTCTTCCCTGGCCATGCTTCTTGGGTTACTGTCAGTCCCTTGAGTTGAGGCACCGTCTGCATGCTGATGACTCTGACTCCATCTCCAACTGGACCCCACCCGACTCCTGATGCCACCTCAGCAGCTCCACTGACACGCCTAACAGCCTCTGAAACTTAACTTTTAGTAGCTGCGTCCCCGCAACCAATCTCCCTCCTTCCATCAGTACAGACCTTGTGTTTTAGCTGTGAGGACGGCTGTCTAGCCAAAGACCGTATTTACTCCCGTGTTACACAGGGCCATGTGAGCTTGCCAGTGGGGTGTGAGAAGCAGTGACACGTGTCACGATCAGGTCTGGCCTTTACAGGAAGGGGTATCCTCTCCGTTCCTCCTCTCTCTCTCCTGCAGAAGTGAGGGAGGAGTGCAACCTTCCACTGGACACCCAGAAGCTCTCTTCTGAGAACAGAAGACCAACAAAATAGAAAGACACCAGGTCCTCAGCACTGTAGCCACTAAGCCACCCCTGCATGGCTTTACTCTCAAGGTTGTCAGATGAGAGGGAGAAAAAATTCCGGTTTAATGTACTATTGGTTCTTGTTACATAGCCAGACCTGTATTGCAATTTTCAAAATGACTAATGTCAAATTCCTATGCACATCCCACCCCCAAACCTGCTCTTCCTACAGTCTCCCTCACTTCCACAAATGCTAAAACAGTTCTTCCAGTTGTCACACCCCAGATTTTAGTTCTCCTGAACTCCTCTGTTTCCCTCAATCCCCGATCCAATCCTCAGAAAATCTCATTGGCTCTACCTTCAAACACAGGATATTTGTAGATACTGAGGAATTCTTGTTGCTTCTTGTTAAGTGCGGTAATGGTATTGAGGCACTCTGTTTCAGAGATACTTATTGAAATATTTACAGACCCAATCACCCGATGCCTAGGATCTGCTTCACAATAACATGGAAGGGGGAGAGGGTGTCAATGCAACAGATGATCCCGAGTTGGGAATTGTGGAAGCCGAGTGTTGGACACTCACGGTTTCATTTTACTATTCTCTTATCTTTTATGTTTGAAATTTGCCATGATTCTCCTTGAAAACACGTTCAGTCCAGACACCGTGGAACCACGCGGCCTGATCCAGGGTCAGTAGTCCTTCGCCTACAACCCTCCCTACGTCTCCCCCGCCACTCCGCTGTGCCTCTGTGCAGCAGGGGTGCTGGAGTGGCCCTGTCCAACGTGACGGCTCAGGTCTCTCCTGTGCTCTGGAGTCCTCCAGGGCTCCAGTCTCATTCAGAGGAAAAGACGCAGTCAGGTCCGCCGCTGCTCCACGAGGCGCGGTTTCATCAGAGCGCCTCTGATTGGCGCTCGCCCTCCTCTAACTCTCCCCTCCGCTCGGCCTGCTGCAGCGTGCTTGCTCCCTTTGCCTGTCCGCAGACACACCAGGTGGACTCCTGCCTCGGGGCCTTTGCACTTGCTGTTCCTTCCCGTAGAATGCTGCTTCTCAGAACTGTCTCAGGCTTCTGCTCAAATGTCACCTCCTCAGTGAGGCCTTCCCTGACCACCAGCCCAGACAAGGAGCCCCAACCATGTTCCCCTCACTCCACTTCGTTCTTCCCCTCGCACTTCTGTCCAGCTGGCGTACGGATCGGCTTCCGCGTTTGCGTGTGGCCATTCCTCTCTCCCTGCACCTGGAACGGCGCCTGGCCCTCACGGTTCTTACTGAATAGCTGTCGGTGCGTGAAAGGGAGAGTCGAGCAGGAAGGGATGTAAAAGGCCATCACTCTGTCCTGCTGGAACAGAGAGTGGGGCAGAGGAGGCCGCCAAGGACCTGCGACCTCAGGACACATCGGCTCTCAACGTTGGAGGCCGGGTGTCTACAGGAGCTGATGGCAGCGAGCGTCCTGGACGGAACGGGGGTGCAGGGCGCGGCCACCGGGCTTGTAGGACCAAGCGCTGCCACGCCGAGGTGGCCGCGACCGGTGAGAGCAGGAAGTCTCAGCACGACAGGAGAAGCGTGAGCGCATGCTTTCCGATAGCTTGATCGGACCGCATGCCGACTAGCTTTATGTCAGGCATGATTGACGGGGAACAAATGTTGGCGGTAGTGATAAGGTGCCGCTTGCTCCGCGCCGAGTCGGATTCAAGCGGCTAGCATCCCAGACAGTGCGGCGCCCCATCTAGTGTGAACAGCCCCCTGTCCCTCCTCCCCTCCGCCGCGTCGAACCGGGGTGAACGTCATTACTGTGTGTGCACACAAGCGTTGGGCAGTTACGTCAGTTAGTACCAATTTGCTGGTGAGTACATGCGGCGCTTGTTTTCCCATTCTTGTGATGCTTCACTTGGTAGGATGGATTGTTCGAGGCATCAGTTGGGGGAGTCCACGGCTCCCAAAGGCGTTGCAGCTCCTGCACCTTCATCAGATTTTTAACTGAGCATTTAATGAACTAAGCAGGGCTGCAATGAACATACTAAGAATTCTAGAACCACCCATGAGGATATGTATTTTCCAGGCCACAGAAGTCAAGGGGAAAAATAGAATTTTCTTTACTTTTCTAGAATTGAACTGAAGTTCTCTCTCAACATCTCATTCTAACTGAAAACATAAACTAGCCATTACCGGGGGAACCCAACTCAATTCTGACTTAAATTCGCTCAAACAGCTGCCTGAGAGGGAACAGAAAGAGAGAACAGAGGCAAAGGCACGTGTTAGTTTCCTGTAGCCGCCACGGTGCATTTCCACAGTCTCAGTGCCTCAGAGCCACACCAGGCTGTTAACTTACAGTTCTGGACAGCAGAAGTGTGACACGGGTTGCCCTGGCACAGTCTCAGTAGCTTTGTTTCTCCTGAGGCTCCAGGGGAGAGTCCGTTCCTCGACTTCCCTCCCCCGAGGCTGCCCGCCAGCCCTGGCTCCTGGCACCTTCCTCCGTCTCCAAAGCCGGCACTCACATCTCTCCACCCTCTTACCGGGTGACAAGTCTCTCTGACGGGCCCAGCTGGAAAGATGTCTCCACTTTTCAGGTCACATGTGATTAGATGTGGCCGTCCCAGACGATCGGGGGTGACCCCTCAACCGCAGTGCTCGTGACGTCAGTCACATGTGCCGAGTCCTTTGCCGTGTCAAGTAACACGCTCACGGGTCTGGGGACTAGCACAGACATCTGGGGGCGGGCATTATGTGCCTATCACGGGCAGAGATAAAAGAATGATTCAAGGATATTTTTGTAAAACTAAAGATATAAAAATAACCTTAAATGTATCCATTCATTTAACACAGGTTTACCGAGCACTCGCCGTGTGCCAGGCCCACTCCATGCAGCAGTGAAGGTGTCAGCAAGCACCTGCCCTCGTGAAGCTCACAGCGCAGAGGCAAGAGAAGAAACGGGAAGACTAGGTGCCAGCGGGCAGACATGAGGACTAGAAGGGAAATTTAAAGGGTGGAGCCGGAGAAGTACGGTGTTTTGGGTAGAGCATGTGGAAAGGCTGCTCAGAAGGGCAGGTGTAGTGGCACAAGCCCATAGTCCCAGCCACTCGGGAGGCTCAGGTGGGAGGATACTTTGAGCCCAAGAGTTCAAGGCCAGCCCGGTCAGTATACCAAGGTCCTGCCTCTAAAAAAAGTAAATAAATAAAATAGCATAAAGAAAGGCCTCTCAGAGGATAGAAAAAGAAGATTGGGAAAGGGAAAGCTATTTGAGGGAAGAGCACTCTGGTCAGAAGAAAAAGCAAGTGCAAAGGCCCTGCGGTAGGACTAAACTTTGGAGTTTCAAGGAACAGAACAGAAGACGAGTGTGATGGGTGTGTAATGGGGGAGACACAGTGAAGGAGGTCAGAAAGGTGGACAGGGGCCAG